TACTTCAGAAGGTCTTGAGAGGTGAACTGAAGGAAGAAAAATGTCATTTATTTTTTCTTCCTGAAGGCTTTTCTTCTGCCTCTCCAAGATCTTCCCAATTGGTCCTATAGAGCTATTAGTGGGACACCTGTTCCTCATCCCACTGTTTCTCTTTCTCTGGCTTTGAAATTAAGAGCTCTTGGCTGATAACCTCTTTCCATGAAGAATCTTGTTAGAAAGTGCCTTAAGAGGATGGAGTAGAAGACACTCCTATCTCCCTGTATCCCTACCTTTATTAGCTTGTAACATCTTCCATGTCATCTCAATGTCAGAGAAGTGTCTTTTCTGAACCTTATGGATTCTGAAGTCCAATTTGTGATTCTGAAAAACCTATGTGCTGAGAGAACATAGTTGTCCAGTTTATCTTCTGTTGCAGAAACCATCAGACACAATATGTTCCTCCATTGCTCATTTGTCTGAAGTTGACTTGGAATGAGTTTGGAACAGGAAAGCCACACTTTCTTTCTAAAGTGCTTCATAATATGAGACAGTGGTTACCCCTTACATTAGGCAGCATGTTTATATCTATTGTTAAACACAGACACTCCCTGAGCATTTCTTTATCTCACTTTGTGAGGTAGGTGGATTCAGGAAGACATTATGGGACGATCAGAAAGGCTGGCTGTCCATGCATTTATTCATGCATTTCCCCACTAAAACATAACTACTGGGCTCCTACCATGTGCCAGGCACTATTGTGGCCACTGAAGACACGCAGGTGAGCAATATCTTCTCCATTTTTGGTGGGAGTTGAGCATTCATCCAAGAAGTTTCCTTGAATATGTGCAAAGAGGTACCAGTCCCACTCCCTCGCAGATATGACCGCTTTACCCTGAAGTGGAGATCAAGGGCCACGTTCTTGGGAGAACTGAAATGTCCCCAGGGCTCTGGGGTGAGCGACAGAGCTGAGCAGGAAACCTGGATGCTGACGCGGCAGGACCCCCCGAGCGCACCACCCGCCCAGTCCGGGGCGGGGCCGGGGCCTCGCGTTCCCGGGGCAATGCTCGCGTCCGCCGGAACCCCCCAGGGGGCGCTCGCGCGGAGGTTTCCGAACTAGTATCTCGCGGGTTGCTGGGCGCATGGGTTTCGTCAGAAGGTGGAAATCTTTCTGAGAAGCTGCCATCTCCCCGCCACCCGCTCGCCTCCCCTCCTCTTCCTTCCTTCCTGGCTCCTCTCCGCTCCCCCTCTTTCCCCGGTACCTTCCACTTTACTCTCGGAGTTAACTGAGCGCCGAGCTGCTCCCCCCAACATTTTCACCTTTTCCCAGCCCCCATCACCAAGAATGGAGTCAGGGTTTCCGGAGAGACCAAACTCTCCTCCCAGCATCTTTTCCAGCCGCTGTTGCTAAACTGGCATCAGAGGACGAGGCGGGGAGGGAAGTCCGACCACCTCCCCCCGTTACACNGTCTCCAGCACATAGAGAATTACTATTTTCTGTTTCTCTCCACACCCACGAACCTCTTCTCTAGGAAAATGCAAAGCTGCTCTTTAGCCAAACTATAAGATAGAAAATAATTATTTTGGGTAACATTAACACCCATCTTCCTTCCTTTGGCTCATCTGGCATATGGAAATGAATGATTAATAATTATCTCATTGTGGGTATATACATTGTTTTGTTTCTTTTACCCAGGATTTTTTTTTTTAACCCAGGATCTTGTCCTCAGCTCCGTTCAAAGGAGAGGAAACTGGAAAGAAACTTGTTTGTCCAAAGCCATTAATAGAAAAATTTCCAGGTAACTTTCCAAGAGTAGACCAGTTAGAAGTAATATTTGGCTATTAGTAACAAAAAGCTGGAAATAGTGGCTTGCATCAACTGACTTTATTTTTCTCATAATAAAATTGATTATAACATAGCTGCCTTCATAATAGCCAAGACCCAGGTTCCTGTTATCTTTCTGTTTAGCCTGCCTGGGCACATGTTTGCTGCTTCATAGTCACATGATGGCTTACCCACCTTCACCTTTAGATAGAAAGAAGGGAGGGGTTAAGGAGGTAAAGGTAAATTTTAGCTGAGTCAGTATCTCCCTCTCTCTGAAGGCTATCATGGAAACTGCCTGCAAATTCCACTGACATCTTAATGGCCAGCACGTACAGCAGAGCTTTCTGCGTTGATGGAAATGTTCTGTATCTGAGCTATCCAAGATGGGAGCTACTATCCACTTGTGACTATTAGCATTTAAAATGTGACTAGTGTGACTGAGGAAATGAATTTTTAATTTTATTTAATTTCAATAAATTTAAATTTAAGTAGCTCCATGTGTCTAGCAGCTACTATGTCAGATAGCGCAGGGCTATCTAGATCTTTGCCACATGACTACCCCATCTGGATTAAAGCCTGGGAAATGTGGGTTTGTGGCTGAGCACATTGAAACATTCCACAGAATTGTGCTTTTCTTAGTAAGGAAACAAACAAAAATGAATATATAGGCTAGGCAAACAGCAGTCTCTGCAATGGAGTGATATTTGCATGCAAACATTTCTTAAACCCAAAGGAATGGAGTCTTAATGAGTTTTATCACATTATAAGTAGCTGAAAATCAGAATGCCAGAGATGGTGTTCAACTCAAAATACCTTCTTTTCACAGTGAGGAAACTGAGGCTTAGAAGGGTGACTGAGAGGCCTAATTAAGAGATAAATGGGATACTCGGCTCTGAAATAACAGGGGTGATTTAGTGTCCTTTAAAACTTCACCCATGGTAAAATGTAAAATCCCAGAAAGAAAATGCTCTCTGCCTTTGGTTTAAAAAAAAAAAAAATGCAATGAAGGAAAGCTAGAGGGATTCTGATGCCACCTATTGGTAGACAAGAGCATAATGCGCCCCTGTTTAGCATAGCTTGTTAGGGGTGGATTTAGAGGCACCAGAGGTCCTATGGAATCCCCATACGGAAGAATGACAGACAGTGGGAGACGTGATCCCTGCATCAGCTGGAAACGTGTATTAGTTCTTTGTTGACTCTCAGCATCTTAGAAGGGCTTTCTTAGAGTGCTCCTCTCTGCTTTCCAGTAATCCAACCCATCTCAAGCATACGCATAAGGAAGATGTATCAGTCAATTCTCAAAATCACATGAAATGGAAACAAAACAAAACAAAACACATTTTCGAGCTATAAATAACCTTGGGAGAGAAAGTTAAGGTTCTTATTGGATCCAACGCCTCAAAAATAAATCCTGTTATTTACAGCAGTCCCTTTGACTAGTTGAGTGTATAACCATCCTACAGCTCAGGAAAAAAAAAAAAAAAGAAAACAAATTCAATTTCAAAACAAAATGCTCACCCTGACTCATTCAGGGAAGGATCCAATGTTTTTACTGCAGGGCAGCGACTCGTTGCCTGTTTTTCCCCCTTCATCATCTTCTACCCTTTCAAAATGGTATCAACTGCCTTGGTAAGAATTCACATTTCTTTTCTTTTGTTCCCTGGCTCCATTCCAGCGTTTCCCTTGTCACACTGATGGGTGGGGTGCCATTCATATTGGCATAGGATAGCAAGCGGATGCCACCCCTTATGTTATTAAACAGAGACTCAGCGAGTGAATCTATCCAGAGCTGGAGCCTCCTTTGCGGCTTGGGAACACCAGGGGCACCGTGGCTCGAGATCATTTTGGCTATGGCTGTAGAACCCAGCAGCTCAGG